TTTTTTTTTTTCCTCTTTCAAGGGTAAGAATCCTAAAGGAAAAGTGTAAGTATTAGAATACGAAACAAGTCTTTCTAACTTGGGAACTTCTGAGATTTCTTTACTGTTCACACTTCTAAACTGTTTTTAAAATGCAAGACAGAAAGGCTAAATACAAGCCAGATAAATATTCCCTATGTAATTCAAGTGGTTTAGAGGGACCAATATATAAACTGGTGAATATGAAAGTTATTAATCTCAAATGGAATGTACAGATCTGTGCTAATGCATAATACAAACCTCCCTTGAAAATATGGAAAGGTGCTTCTTTTCACTTCACAAACTTACTGCAGTGCACAAGGAAAAAGATATTGTTTTGTGTACTCATTTTTATCTATGTCTCATATAATACCATAGCTAACTGGCAGGGGGGACAGATGGATGCAGGGTTGAAGTTATCCTAGAAGAGAGAAATGGAGGGAGGGTTTAAGAAGAAAAGAAGAAAAAAAAACCTCAACAAATGCATAAAATCTTCAGCTCATTATTGTAAGAGTATGAAAGATCACATCCTTTTTTTTTTTCTTCAGGAGAGATAAGATTATAGGTTACTCTTTCTCATCTAGTTATTCAGTACTACAAGACAGAAAGAGCAAAATAATACTTAGTTTTGTGTTATAAGGAATGAAAAGAATAACTGCCAAAGTTTCTAACTTGTTTTAAGGTGTCTTAAGTCATTCAGGGGCTGTCTCCTGAGTGTGCATGTGCATAGGCCTAAGCAGACACCTGCATCTATATGGAGGTCTGTTCTTGATCCTTAATAGGACACCAAGTCTTATTAATGTCACACAATTGTTGATAGAGTTTTATTGGGTTGTTCTGAAGAGGATCTCAAGCTGAATTTGATTGGAAATAGACTGGTGAATATTTTCACTACCTTTGGAACTTCAGTAGCTTGCCTTTGCTGCTATAAATCTTTGCTTCAGTCCTCATTTATGGATTTTCTTTTTTAACATGTTTTTAGGTGGCTATGGCTGCAAATGTCAACTAGTGCAAAATGCCATCAAGATTTTTAGTACCGTACTCCTGCTCATTTAGAATCTCAGTACTTTAAAAGATACAGCATGCCTTTCTCCACCTTCAGATTTATGCATCTTACATTTGCATTTAAATAGTCCCTTTAATGACAACACGTTATTCCAGTTCTATCAACATCTAGTTTTAGTATCCAGGTACAACAAAACAAATGTATGATGTGTTTCCTCGGAATTCAGTTTGATCCATGTAAAAATGTGACTTTCATACAAAAAAAAAAAAAAAAAAAAAAAGACAGAAGGGAGAAGCTGTTGGCAAACAAAAATGTAAGAAAATGGAGCAAATTCTTTTGAAACTGCTTCCTAAGGTCCATAGGAAAGTAGTTAAACCCAGGGGGTAGAGAAGGAGCATATGTGCCAAGTAGCATGCAGCAGAACAAGCGTAAGAAATGAAGGATTCCATGCTGCCTGCTGTGTATAGACGTGCAGTTCTTATTGCCCATAGTACAGCTGTGTTGTTTCTCAGTGCTGTAGTTTGTTCTTTAAATCAAGCCACAACCAGTCCCCAGACTACTGTGAATGCTGTAGTTAAGGTGATAAATTCATAGTGCTGGAAATGATTACCTATGATGTAGGACAGGAACTGATTTCTCAGCTTCTGAGTATAATAGAAATGAAAGAATTAATTCTTCCAACAAATACCACTTCATAAAATGTTGTGCATTAGCATTGTGAGAGGATCCTAAGATTTTTCTGATGCCCTCATATGAGAAAAACATCTTCAAGTTGTTAACAATTTTTTCCATATGTGTTTTAAAATCTGTTTGTGTGTTCTCATAACTGCAGTTCTTCAGGTCCAAATACATTATTCTGTGAATTTGCATTCTGCTAAATTTTGTATTTTTTCCCACAGCGTTTGTTTGACCATATTGTGAAATAGGCACCTTTCCTGAGTTACATGAACAAATAAGATACGAGTCACTTTCTTGTACATGTATCGATGCTCATTTGTCACCTTTTTGTCGATTCATTGTGTTTTGAGAGGTTCTTTAAGAGTTTTCACCCCATCAGCATAGCACTTGAATATCCAAATCTATGAGTTGGAAGGCTGCACTGCATGTGCCATTTGTTGATGAATTCAAGTGATCACTGCACCAATCTTTTGCTTTTTGTTTTATGAGATGCGAGTATAGGAAGCCCTATCTACTACTTGGTATCCTTTAATTGGTTTTCAATTCATGAAAAGGACATTTTCTCCAATTTCAGATTACATTCTTTATTAAAGCCTAGCCTAGGGGTTTTTATACACATGCTTCTCTAATACCATTCTAGCCCTGTAGAAGCTTTGTGAAACTGTAAGCAGTCCCACAAATCTCAGCTGACCATTTTAATCTTTACCCTCAGTAAACTAACTTACTCTTTATTACAGACTTGACTATCCTATTGGGACTGGAAATTGTTCACAGGTTCACAGCAGTGAGGCTTCCCTCTAGATTCCTTTTACAGATGGGAGCCATGCTGCAATCTGTCAGTCCTCTGACACACTGACAATCTGTACCGATGGGTGAAGGCACTTCGGTCAGTAGTTTTGAAGCCTCGCATTTGATTTCTTTCAGAGATCTTTGATAAATGCAATTTGGTCCTGAGAAGTTACCACATCTAGCTTATTTATTTAAAGCTAATACATAGAAGGTGCTTGAATGAAGTAGCTCTTCTGACCTATCTGATACAGAGAACTCATTCTCTATGTTACAGTCTTAACAACGGGTGCCCCCTTCTTAAACCTTAGTCACCAGCTCTCTCGTCGGTTCCCTTCTTGTTTTCCTGCTCTTGTTGTGTTAATAATTTGGTACCAACCTGAACATTATCTTCACATTACTCTTCTAGCCCTCTTATATTTACAGCTGACTTGTGATGTTCTATGAATGTTTCTGTTCCCCCTTGCCAGCATTTAAACACAGAACTCCCTAAGATGCTTTTGTAACTTTGATCTATGTAAGTCTCTTTACTTCTCTTTGAGTTGTGGCACATGTTTAACTAGATACCTAATAGAATATTTAACAGTTTGCAGGCCGTGTCTTGCTATTCAGGTTGTTCCATTATTTATTATAATTGCCTGCATTTACCGCCCCTTCTTTGAAACTGATTATCTCAATTTCACTTTGATTGTCCACTCTTGCAACAATATTAAACCTATTTTATTGTTCTTGCTTTTACCAAGTTACTGTCCCATGAATCTTTCTTGTACAGGTATCCACGTACTGAGCAAGATGCTGCTCTTGACTGGGTTATTAATTGTGAGATCTATTCTTTATTCCAGGAAGTCACTGTATACCACTGGAAAACTTAGTCTCATCAGATCACTCACTACCACTGCCTGAACATAGCAGTTTCTCTTATCTCACTTCCTGATTGCTATCATTATCTTGATCAAAGGTCAGTATCACAGTTCTTAAGGATTAAATTTATTGTTACAGGAGCACAGATCTCTGTGCTGTTGTATCCCATGTTAGCCTTCGTGCATTGTGCTGTTTTATTACCCGCATAAGCTATGCCATTTTTAAGTCAGTAGCCTGACAACAGTGTCATACTGGTGTGTGTGTGTGTGTGTGTGTGTGTGTGATACTATATGTATCTGTGTGTACACACACACACACACACACACACACACACACACACACACACATCTGTTCTATCTTCCATAGTGATATGTGGCTCTGGAGGCAGTCTGATGTGCCTTCCCTATGTGTTATGATGTGCCTTCCTAGCTAGCATTCGGTGCTCCTCGGAAAAGGCTACATCTGCCTTCATGCTTTGAGCTAGAAAACAGGTGTTAGAGTTTGTCAATTTTCCCCCAGTTTCTAGTTTAAATATTGCTCTACAACTCTGCAACAGTTTTACGCCAGCAGTTTAACGCTGTCCTTCCTGTTTTTCATTTTAAGAAGTTCTTAACATACCTTCCAGAATTGTAGAAGCCCAGAACTGGACACAATACTTCAGATTTGGCCTTATGCAGGGGCAGAGAAGATAAGAAGAACCTCCCACTACCTGCTGGCCACACTTTTTTTTTAATGCACCCCAGGATACCATTAGCCACCTTGGCCACCAGGACACACTGCTGGCTCAAGGCCAACCTCTTGGCCACCAGGACACATCAATTCTTCTTGGCAGAGCTGCTTTCCTGCAGATCATCCCCTAGCCTGTACTGATGCATGCAGTTACTCCTCCCCCAGTGTAGGACTCTGCACTTGCCCTTGTTGAACTTCATAACCCTCCTCTTGATCCAACTCTTCCATCTGTCCAGTTCCTACTGCTTCCAGAATGAATACCTACAGTGTTTGATGAAGTGAGTTTTGTAGAGTTCAGAGAAACTCATCCTCACGTTTAGAGACATTCACGTATAATACATGAAGGAAATTCCAATCTGATTTCGTTCCTGGCGTGCCAGTGAAAGTGAACTGGAACTTGCAAAAACTGTATGCCTACAATTCTTCTTTCCTGAGCTATGCTAAATATAGTATGCAGGCATATACAAAGGTATATACTTACACATGAGAGCATTTCATATGAGGTGTGAGCAGGCACAGAAGTGACTTATCCAAGATTTGATCCTTGCACTTGTATGTTAGCTACAAAATATGAGATTGCACTACTTCTAGGAGCATCACAGTTACCAAAGGTTACAGTGTATTTTGGAGGGAATTCTGCATGGCACTGTGTTAGCATGCTCAGTGTACAATCAATCCAGTAAAATTAAACTTCTAAGCTAATCCTTTTATTCTCTAAGTTTACACTTTCAAAGCAAAGTAATAGCAAGATACATGTTATACTACTCATTATAGTTCCCACCATGGTATTTCTCTAAACAGTAGATGAAGAAACAATTATTTGATCATATTCTAAAATGCATCTTAAAACAATTTAACAAACTTCAGATTTAAAACTTCACAAAACTCTTTGGATTCTTGTACTAAAATTAATAGGAGAGCCTTAAGACTTATAATGAAGTTTATTCAAATTCTTGAGCACAGATTATATGTAACATTTTAGTACTTCCCAATGAGATATTTATGGTATATATCTATAAATTAAGCATTCATTGCATAAAACTGTATTCATTTCTCTGCATACTATACAAATTATCACAGAAACAGATGAGCCAACTAAATAGTCTTGAATACGTCTAACAGTGGCAGGCAGATAAGCTGGTACTGATGTTATCTTCATGGTAAGCAGCTCTAAATGAATCTCTCTTGAATTCACTTAATTAAGAAGCTGAAAAGAAAGGAAACATGATTAAAAGCTGAAAAATGCCTATAAAATATAGTATTGCAATTATTTCGAGAGAATAAACAAGGACTTCAAAACAGTCATTTGAAAAGCCATTCAATGTTTGTGTAATAATCTCTTAAATGCTTATATCTCATTAGATAATTACTAAGTAAGCATGAAAGTCATCAAATAAAAACCTGAGTGACTGAAACTTATATTTTCGTATTAAAAACATTAAAAAGCAAAATGCACTTCAAACATCTGTTCTCTTCAATCAAGCTCTGCACCTGCTCTTACTACCTAAAAGTAAAAGCTATGTCTCCTGGGAGCTATTTCAGATTTATTTTAATCATTCTTCCCTTGTAGAAGTGGCCCCTGAGTGGGGAGGGCATAAATGACTTGGCAAGGTTCTGAACGGCTCCAGACTCTTAACATTCTTAATGTTTTAATAAATTAAGGAGTTTCAGATGACGTTGCTGCTTCTTTATCCCTGGGAAAAAACCTTGTATTTAAAATAAAAATTAAAAAAGCTTACGTTTCAATTGTCATACATTTCATTTGAGGTATTTCAAGGACATTATCAAATGAGGTATCTTTACAAAGGGGAACGCAGAGAGAAAGAGTTGTGCACAACCGCAGAATGAGCTAATTCTATAAACACAGAATAACGACAGGCTGAAGTGAAGGGTTACTACAGCTTGACTGTGTCTAGCTTCATATGAAAGAACTTTTGATTCCTCAAAGATACACAATGTGCTCAAGTATACACACCATATTAACTTCATCACTTTTCCATTTATGGCATAATTAACTACTCATTACAAAACAGCCATGCAAGTGCCATGAGCTAAAAAGACAGTACACTATAAAGATGTTCCCTGCTGCAAAAAGTTGACATGCTCATTAAGCAAGACATACAGACCAAGGCAAAACAGATGGCAACTGGCTGGGTGCTAGAGGGTGAAGTGATTATTGAAAAGGAAATGCAAGAACAACTATACAAAGAGAATTGCAAAGTGCTGAACTGAGAAATAAGAGAATGCTGTAGGATAGGTATGCAAGGCCATGTACAGGAAAGAAGGAATGAAGAAGAGAGGAATAAAGATAGTGGGAAAATTTCAGGCAGGAAGAATAGGAGGGGTAAAGGGTAATCAGGCAAGTAGCAATGACAGAATCAGGGGTGGTGAAAAACTGAAAGGTATTACTGTAGGAAAATATAAATATAGCAATGTCATTTTGAATAAATATTCTGCTACCATATCTGCTACTGTATCTATATTACTGTTTGTCTGTAGCACAACTGAAGTACATGTTTAGCAGCTAAGGTAAAAAGCAAAAGTAATGCAGAAGTTATAGAAGTCTAAGAAGGAAAAAAAGCCAAAAGTTGAAAAACACAAAGCACCAAAACATTACAAAAATCACGAAACAGACAGTAGCCAAAAAAAGATGGAGAGGGGGGCAGGGTTTCAGAAAAACCTGTAAGGACAAGTTGAGTAATATCTTGTTTAAATCTATCTTAAAAGACGTACTATGGAGCCAGACACCTGAAATTTGGAGCTCTTATTCTTTAAAGGACTAGAAACCTCACAGAGAAGACTGTGGAAGTCTGCGGCTATTCGTGCACTCAGTATAATATTTGATTATTTAGATGAAGAAACTGGTTTGTTTTCCATTTCAGTGGGCAACTTTTTTTTTTTTTTTTTTCTGAAAAACTTGCTGTCCAGCCATAATAAGAGAAGAAATATGGAAAATGGTATTATCATTCTCCTGTCTTTTAGAATTATCCTGGTTGCCTCAGTTTTGAAGGAAGGAGTTTATTTTGTTGAGTGCTACAGACTTGACTGTGAATCATAGTGTTTAAAAGAACTAGATTACAGTTCATAAATTTCAGGTGAATCAAACTAATTAGGTGTAAAGTCAATGTGGAATATCTGAGCAGTTATTTGCAGCACTCACATTTACTAATACTTTAATTTTATTTGTCTGCAGACACTGTTTATTTGTTCTATTTACTTACATTTTACCAATCTATTTTGAAGAAATAACTATTCTATTTTATTCATTTGTATTTAATCTCAGTTGTTCAATATTATTCAATAATTCTTTACTGAAACTAATTTAATTACGTTGAGGATAGACATTTCTTATATGGCATATACAGTAAATGCAAGGTATCCAGCTCCGCATCTTGTCTGTTCTTGCTCTGACTCTAGGTAAAGAACAAATACTTCATGTCTAACTTAACTTTCATGTTTATTTCATGAAAATAAGGCATCTTTTATTTATCATGCTTTCTTTCAGCTTATTTCTTTTTCCATGTTAGTCATTTCAAAATATGTATTTTCCCAATGTATTAGTTCATAGTGCTGAAGGCTGATTATTTTTTTATTATTTAACTAAAGCCTCTTCACCTTAATGTTTTCAGTAATACACAATTGCAATTGCTTTCAAGGCTAATCTGATAATGAAACTCACAACTGCAGGTGCCAAAAAATTGATAAAGATACATAATGCGAGCAACTTAATAAAAAATTACATAAAACTCTCACATTTTCTGCTGTTCATATTATTTTAAATCACATTAAAACAACAGTGCATGGTAAGACGTAGACTTGAAAGGACAATAAAAGGTGCCATCAATAACAAAATGACCCTAAAAATTTCAAAAAGTCCACTTCATAGATTTCAGCCAAAGATAAAACAAAACAAAACAAAAATCATGGATAACTTTTTTTTTTTTAAATACCATTATACACTGAATAAGACTTTTGTCTTTTTCTCTTAAAGAAACCAGCATTACAAATATTTTTATTGCTACTATTCACAGTGATACACTACTCTGCTAATGTACTGATGCATTCTCTCTTGTTCTAACTGTCCCTCCTCATTCTTAATATTTTATGTGTTTTCTTGGACTGCAACAACCTAATATAAGGTTTGCATAGAACTTTCCAAACTCTTTTCTGAATACAAAAGCTTAGATTTCATCCTTCTGGCTTATAAGTTAAATTTGTTCTCCCTATTGTTAGCATGTATGCTAGTTACTAATAACATTATGTTGAGGTAGTGAAATGCTCAATGACTGAATATCTGATACTTAATTCATCATTTATCCAATTTAAACGCTGGAGTGAGAAGGCTTCTAAAAATATTCCTTTGGATGTATCAACATTCCTGGTCTTATTACAGAACCACAGAATTGCAGGGGTTGGAAGGGACCTCCAGGGATCATTAAATCTACTCCCCAGCTAAAGCAGGTTCCCTACAGCAGGTAGAAGGGATAAAGGGGAAAATGTACAACAGGGTGAAATAAAATTAATGTATTATCATTCAACCATTAATGACAACAATTAAAATAAAGGTTTTAGCAAAAAAAAGAAAAAAATCTATCCTGTTCCCACAAAAGGTGGTTTAGTAGCATAAAAAGCCAGCCATAGTAAAAATGACTATAGGGGAGAAATTTATTACGTGCTTACTCATCCATCATGAATCTATATACCCTGTAAATAATCTTCATGATGATCTCAATTTTGCATTCCATCTCTCATTCCAAAGGTTTACTGTATATGTGTATTTTACCAGCACATTAAAACATTATTTTTGCTCAACCTAACTTTCAGGAAAAAATATTCTATGGAAGGGAGAATCAAAACCTAATTTGAAGATGTCTGAAGCAGTTTAAAATGATGTTACTCTCCCTTCCTACACACACACGCGTGTGTGTGTAAAGAGCATATTTATAGACTTGTGCTGTTCTGTAGCACTCTTCTGGAAACTTTTCTGTTTGTCACAGAAATTAACACTGATAATGGCATTACCATTAATCAAGGCATTACCAGCATCAAGGAGGTAACAGCGTTCCCAGTACTTTAATTTATGCATCTTAGAAAAGGAAATAAATTTATCAGGTTTTTGACTCCAGTTATATGTTTATCTAACTCTGTTTTGATTTATCTTCACTACACGAAGGTCACTAGAGAGAAGCAGGCTGCACAGTAGTTTATGTTACTTTTCCAGTTTTTATTGATGCATCCTGTTTCACATAGGACACATTTGAGGGTTTATTGACAGAGAGCACAAACAATTCTGTGTATCTGGCTTTTTTTAAAGTAAGACAAAAATTGATGTTTTTGATAGTGCTCATAAAGAAAACAAATTGTTTAAATGCTAAATGTTACTTTAGGCATGCCAACATAAGCATCCTTTCTTTTTTTCTAATAAATCATTAGTATGCACTGTTTCTAGTGGCATTGAAGTTTTACTAGCCTGAGGCCAATTTATCACATAAAGACTTACAGTTTCAAGGTGAAATCATAACCAGTTAAAGTAAAAAGACAGACATATTTCACATTTTTAAGATATAATCACACTGGGATCTATTGATGAGACATAAAAAATCCTTGGATAGATGCTAAGAAAGTCAGACAAAAAAATGTTTATCAACAGATATGACTAAAATTAATGTGTAGAATATAACATTAAAGGGACAAAGAAAAAATAAGAGAATTTACATACTTGGTCGCACACTCACTTCATTAGAATTTGTAACTATGCACATAAACCAAAGAACTCCTCTTCAGAATGAGTATGACATTGTCATGAATATGGTTGAGACAACTGAAATTTAATGGCAAGGCTAAAAGGTAGTTTCCAGAGAAGGTGCTGAGAGGCTGCACAGACTATTCCAGATGGCAAATTACAAAATCCATACTGATGAAATCTCACAATATTATACTACAGGGCCCTTTGCTGATCAATTTCCTTAGCAGAACAGAGTAAAAAGCAGGAAAAGACCTTCTGTGCATATTACGAGGAGAAGAGTTAAACTATCTTGAGTAGTGGTACAAAACTGAGAAAGCTGGCTTCTGTACTAACACACAAGACCACTCATGGAAATCAACATTAAGTATCAGAAAAAAATTTAGTATTCCCCATATGACTCATTAACAGTGACTGTTTAAAAAAAAAAAAAATAAATAACAGCACAACTGATAATATTAATAGACTGTTCTTTTTTTTTCTACTTACTTGAAAATAGAGACTTCTGAATCTGCATTGCTAATGGTTCCCTTATGTATATTTTGTACATGCATTAGACGACAATTCATAGTGTCAAAAGATCTTTCAGCAAAGCATTACTACATCTACACTACAACATGAATGTCATGCACTTATTTTGTTCAACCATGGTAAACAGTAACACAGACTAATAGATAATATGTGATTTATTAGTCTACTAGTTTAAAGAAAACAATTTCACTGGAAATAATGAAAATCTCATCTTTTTAAAATGCATTCTTGCCACTTAGATTGGGGAAAACATCTCTTAGCTGGTTTTTTACATCTTAGCTGTACTGTAAAGCCTTGCGTAGCAAGGCTATGTCAATTGTATAAATATGTTTTATATGTGTATATATGTACATATACATGTACATAATAGTCATTAATCTTGGATTTAGTTGTAACAACAGAAGACTGACTTTTTTTCAAGTCGCCTGGTCCATCATTACTCTAGCACAGAAGACTTAATTGCATGTTACTTTTTCTCCTAGCCTGGCTTTTTCAGGTAAATCTAAAAATACTATCAGGATCATGAGAAAATGATATGGGTTCTTGAAAGGCTACTAAAAAAAGTGTGTAACAAATGAGCAAGACGTAAATCAGAAATCTAGGCAATCTCTACAGGTGACTCACAGCTGAATTACAGAAAGAAATATGTAAAAAGTTTTATAAATTCAAGCATAATTTTTCCTTCACATTTTTCATGGAGCACTGTATAAGCCATGGTCTGTACTCAAATGGTCTGCATTAACAGTCATTCTAATCCCATCAGCTTTCCATTTCTTTCTGATTTGCTCCAGTTGATCACCTTTCTTTCTGCTTCTTCCAACTCCCATAGATTCCAGTGGTAAAAATTAAAGATTTGTTACGTAAAAAATGTTCTTAAATTTAGACAATGTTATTAAAATACATCAGAAGAGAATTTAATGAAAAATTACCTGTATGGGTAGCCATGGTATTTGGAGCGGAATATGGACAACAGGAAGCTGAAGAAAAAGACCACCAGACCCAGGCCTACTAGGCATATTACTGGAAAGAAAATAACTTTGTTTACTAGCGTATAAAAGATTTAAAACTGGAATCTCTACAAAGAATATTATTTACGTCAATCATTTATATAGAATTTTGACAGTGAAATACAGAAACACTGCTGCTTGCCTACTGATGCTCACTATCTTCTGATAGGATTTCAAATACACATGGAAATAATATTTATGGTTATTAAGAAAAAATAACTTGTCAGTTCAAATGTACTTTCAAGAAAAGAGAGCAGCAATTTGCAACTCAAATGTTTGCGGATGCAAACACCTTACTGCTGATAACAGATTTAATAACGCTTTAAATTATACATGTCAAGCAATGTCATTTCAGGTATTTGCTTGTTCTTTTGGAAAACAAATTACATTTAGAAAAAACATCCCTGGACTAATGGAATCATGCTGCCTCTAGTCAACCATCTAAGACTAAAGTAACTGCAAAGGCTGTTTATAACTGCTTTATCTAATTCTTAGTGGCTAAAACATTTCACTGTATTAAGTTCCAGGGCTGGCAGAGAAATTACTCTTAAATATTATGTCTTTGGGTATTGAAGTTAAGTAACAACGACACAGACCTTCTGAGAGCATCCAGATGCAAGCTCATTGAGCCTTTTCAGGCTAAGAAAGAATTAGCAAAGTAAATACTTAAATTAACAAATCAAATCTGAAACAGCAGTTGACGCTTTTGTAGTAGTAGCAAAAACCCTTTTCAATCATCATAGCTCACTCAATTGTGCACAAGTAAAAGAGAGAAAAAAAAAAGGAACATTTTACAGTCTGCTGTGTATGACTGAGATACACCTCACCTATGAGGACTGCTCCGAAAGTAATGCCTAAACCCACTGCAACAGAGGTGGATGGTGGTAGTAAGTCAGTGGAGGGTAATATCCCAACAATATCCTGTTTCATTTTGGTGCCAGCAGCAAAGGGGCAGTCTGACAAAATGGTATCTGACACAGAAGTGTGTATGAAGTAAAGGTGTGTCACTGAACTCTCCACGTAGAAAAAATGGAATCCATTGACATGCACTAATGCTTGATGAATATTTGTGGAGACCAAACAGTGGATGTGAGCAGAGTTAGGTGGTGGGTTATGCATTTCAGCAATGGTGACAACAGTGGGTTACCTCTGTTGGTACAGATTTTTATGAGCTCAGCACACAGGCTTTTGTTCATTGCTATTGAAATGCATAGCTAATCAGGCAATGGTGGTGAACATGTTGAAAAAAACTGTTTTGTAGCTGAGAATTTGCTATCTCAAGTAGTTGCTACTCTTTGTATCTGTTGTAGTTTCCATGGAAACAAATAGAAGTCGGTGAAGCTGAAAATGGATGCATTTTTCATTAAAATTGACTATGTAAAAACTGACATATATCAATCTAATTGTTAAAACTTCTGCAACTAGTTTGAGAAAATTAGCCCTGTACAGATTTTATACACACACTTCATCGTACAGAAACTGCCAATCACAAATATGATTTCAAACCATAATGAAATGAAATGTTAAGCATGAACAACGCAAGGCACACGGAAAGCATTCAAGTGAAAGACAGCAGAAGCAAGTTTGAACTTGTACTTGTGATATGATAGCCCATATCACTACACACATAATCACAGAAGCAACTGTGATCCAACAACACGTGCCAATTAAATTAATGTCAATGTCTTTTCAAAATCAGTATTAGTTAAGATCCATGAAAGATACACAAAATCAAGTTATACCTCTACAGCTCACTGAAGATGACACTCAAATCAGTATAGACAAACAGCTAACATTCAACCTACCCTTATGAAGCATTATTGGCTAGCCCTATCTGCAATGCTGTATATTACACACAAGATGCTAAAGAATGGATTTTAAAAGATCAAATAGCATAGAAATGATGGTATCTTTAAAAATCTTCAACCATTTATGTGAGAAAAAAGTAAATGGCTGTATGGTAAGAAGTTTAAATCTGAATAAAATGCTTTCATATAGTGTTCTTATGCAACTGACTGCCAAAAAAATATTTAGATATTGTGAATGAGAATGAAATTCAGAAAAAAAACCCATAAAACTAGCACTTCTGGCTAGCAGCCCTTAGACGTTACATATTAGGATATATTCTGCATTGTTGTGCTTTCACTTTCCTTCAGAGACATATTGTACAAAGTGTAACAAGAATTTTTTCTCTCCTTTGCATGTTGTCGCGAGCATCTCAAATGCCTAAACTCATTTTGAAAATGCTTTGAAACTCCTTTTCTTTAACTCACAGACACATTCACATTATGCCTTTCTACCTCATAGAGAATGTCAAGTCATAAGTTGACTGGGGATGCTTAAGACCTGTTTTTACTGCTACAACATGCTAATATAATCTATTAGCTATATGCTAATAGCTAATAGATGTATTGAAGGTCTATGCTATACTCTTCTCCACTCCACAACATGTAAAAATTAGTTTAAGGAAGAACTTTTAAAAACTTAATCAGATAATCATTTGTAATTTCTCAATATCTTTTTAACTGTGATAACATTGTCTTAATTGTACTAAGAAACTTACTTCTCCTCTTCCCAACATCCCCTTTGGAGGTAGCAGCTTCATTCAGGAGTACCATTCCCATGGTAATAGCAGCATCTATATCACCATTGTCAAGGAAACAGCAGATGTGCAGATACCTCAGAAAGCCACAAAGGCACAGCTAAAAGCTAAGGCTTTCAAGTTGATAAAAAATATTTATATATAAAACTGCATATCACAATCTACTGAACCAACAGATTCACCTGGGGGAAAAATAGGAATAACATTTTCCTTTGAGCATTCTACATAAAAGAGGAAAGAAGGTTCAAAAAGCTCTAACGAATAAGTCCTTATATAAGACATATGGCTTTTCAATAGTTATGAAAATAGATACTCTCCAATATTTTCCAATATTTGGTATATTGGAAAGTAAAGGATTTTACAAAATGAAGACTAAAAGAGCAAGAAATCATTCCTATTCCACAGTGGGTTTTTTAATGAAAACTGAAACAGCTGAACTGCTTTATCTTTAATCTGCTTCTCAATAGACATTTGCTTAGTCTTTAGTGTCATATTGCAGCAGAGAAACATCCCAGAGGCAAAGTCCTGAGTTTTATTGCCTAATTATTACTGTTAGGAATACAAACAACTACATAACAATAAAACAATTTAGCAAGATCTTAAACCATACAATTAATTGCTTACTTAAAACTTGATAAATAAAAAAGAATGGTTGCTACTTACTGTGTTTAAAATCTGTTCTGAGGAGGAAGCATGAATGAATGTCACACTGAAGCAGGAGTGTGTCACCTGAGCTATATCTCACAGTTTCAAAAAATAGAAATTTTAATAGACACAGCTAAATCTTGAATAAGGGAGAGATTTTTAAACTTCACTTTCCCCAGGGCTAGGCAGCAGGATGGCAGACTAACTACCAAATTTAAGAATGAGACACATTTCAATTTACCTACACATATAATACAGAAGATGCTTCACACATACTACAGACATGAACAATATTTCCAGCCTCTTATACCTGCATTAGTGTTATTAATATTAACATTTTTACATTAACAATTTTCAAAATTAGACAAAAATTCTCTAATATATCCGAAATTTCAGTTATATGATTTCAATTACAGTCAAGTGAAGAGTAACAGAATTTTAAAAAAAGCAAGCACTAGTGGCAAAATGTGATATGTGTTCACACACATATCAGCCCACAGGCAATGTCAAGGCAATGTAAGTTAAAACAATTTTTCAGGCATGGACATCCTCCAATGGTCCTAAATTAAGACACTTGCAACACATGCATAACGTAGAAGGCATGGGCTCACTTGGATTAAATTGTTAAGGTTGAGTTTTGTACAATATCATTGTTTAGAAATGTGAAAAACTGGGGATCTACTTCCTCCTGAAATTAGGCATTCCCCATCTTTCCAATGATGCTGCCCACTTTACTAGAGAGAGAAGAATGCAATATTCTTAATGGCAGAGAAAAACAAGGAAAAGACTGCAACCAAAGCCCAGCAATTCTAGGGAATAATCTCCCTGGATTCCCAGTCTCAAGGCTATTTATAGTTTGTTGTTCTTTATCCCCCAAGGCATCAGAGTAAATATACAATGGAATTCATTATTAAATCTATGTTAAGAGAGATATCAGAATCACTATTATTTTCTCTTTGAATGGCTGTTTTGAAAGAAGAGCTCTAAAATTACTTGAAGGCAAAAATAAGCTGGTAATACTGTGAATGCTTCAGACATAGACATTATATTACTACAGTGAAGACTGCAGATGAAAGATAAAAGGAAAGCAAGAATAAAATAGTAGATAATTATACAAAGACTTTGGAGGTTAAGATAATGAAAATTTTGTTTCTTGGAGCATATTGAAACACAAGAGGTTTTCTTGTATTTCACCAGGAACACAGAACATCAGGAAACACTTCTTAACTGTGTGGGTGATGGAGCACTGACACAGGCTGCCCAGAGGCTGTGGAGACTCCTCCTTGTAGATCTTCAGAAATCACCTGGATGCCGCTCTGGGCACCTGCTCTAGGTATCTCTGCTGGAGCAAGGGTGGGATCAGGACCCAGAGGGTCCTGCCTACCTCTGTGAAAATGCTTTATAATGGTCATGAGGATCTGTCATGTTTTAAACATATAGCTCATTCATCACACAGTTATCAAAAATCTTATTAATGGATATTAAAAATAAGCTGCCTCAAACATGTTTTCCCTTATGTCATTGTTGGGTTTAATCATGTTTTCATTAAAGCCACAGGCTAAAGGAAACTTTAAACATGACTTCTTTAGAAGTTCACATCAGGCCTAGTGTTACAGATAATGTAGAGTATATTTAAATGCATTGTTCATGAATGCATTTTATCTGCTACAAAATTCAGTAAAACACATATTTCAAAAGTACTTAATAAATTGAGCAATATGGAAAACATAACAAAAACATCCCAGGAGCTAATATGTAGGCTTTATAGAATATTTTAAAATCTTTCCCAAAATAGCTGGGGGAAGGAGGAGGAGGAATGGAATCCACACTATTATACAGATTAGAAGGTAAAAAAAATCGTCTTCTAACCTCTCTGTTTTTCCTAAGCACAAGAGACTGGAAATTTCTTGCGCTACTCATATGCTTCTATGCAAGACTAGAGAAGGTGTCATGAAACCTATTCATTTCTCTGCTTTCAAATGTTAAGAATGCAAAAAAAAAAAAAGCAAAAAAATGCAAAAAAAAAAAAAAAAAAAAAAAAGAATTGAAAAAGTTGCAAGAAAGCCTGAAAGAAATACCACACAGATTCCACATATATTTCTAGCTTATCAATAGAAGCTCCTAGCACTGAATTATCTAACAACTTTATTTTACCAATCTCTCATTTAGATTTATAACAGTAATTAATTTTGTTCTTAATTTAACTGAATCATGAGGAATGACAAAGAACAAAACCCACTGAAAAGCTATTTGGCAGATATGATTTTTTTTTTTTTTTTTTTTTTTAAACAGACAATGATTTTTAGTCCTCTTTTCCTATTACTGGGAAGAACAGTTTGACAAAAGCAACGTCTCCTCTGCAACTGAGAGCAGATCTATAACCAGCAGAACTGTGCTTTCCAACCCCCCCCTATTTCGGAGACTCACATCATTACCCTTCCAACTTCCTTCACATTGTCACTACTTTTGCTTCAGTTGTTGCTTTCCAACTTCAGTCATGGATTTTCAGCCTCACTTAGTTGATGTCAATGACACTGGCTTTATAACTTCACACTCTAACAGTGATTGAATCACTTACTTTAAATCTGTGATGTTGAAGCAAAACTTTAGTCAGTTGAGTCCTGATTTTAATGCAATCACTAGCTTTGCACCGTAGAATATTTAGTTTAAATTACTATTTTGGGCTCCTCTTTCTAGCACTGTATGTTATGTCTTTATGTTATTTTGATATTCCACAAAGTGAAAGCAACAGTCCTGTTCCAGAAATAATCTACATATCTCATTTCTTCAGCAAAGTAGAATTTAAAGTTTTGTCAACTAGTTACTTGTATGGTCTTCCATCTTCAAAAAATTTAATAGCATGAAAAGATGTACTTGTTTTCTGATTTCTGTTGATTTCTGTCACTATGCATTATGAAACTACTCTGAAAAGACAAGGCAAATGTGGACTCAGACAAATGATAGCTAGCAAATATTTTAAACTCAGATGTTTATGTTTTCTGGTAAACATATCCTTTTGTAGCAATTTTGTAGGTGAATCTACAAAATTAATTTTTGCAAAATATCTTTCCATTGTTAAATTTGGAATTGTTTCAGTTTTACTTGTTAAACTTCTGCTGCCCCTTTTCCTAGATGGCACATAATCCTCACTGAAATGGAGAACTTACACTAGTTACTTAGTGCTTTTGAAAAGCTTCTGAATACTTTGATAAATGAGGAGCAGTTTAGTAGTATGATGAAAAACAGTGATGATCAAAATTCATAAGATTATTCATAAAATGATCATCAGCAGCAGAGCATTAGCTCTGCAAATACCAAGATGTTTTATTGGAAGTATTTTTAAGAAAAATGATTGGATCAATAAACTCTGTAATAATAGATACCTTACAAAATGTAAGTGATCACTAGTAAATTCTGGGTAGTTTCTATTAGCATGCTTTGACTGAAAATTTAATTGCTATTAATTCCAGCCAGAATGTCCCAAAGAAGAAAGCTTGGCAATCTGTAAGTTATTAATGTCATATACCATTTATATCTTTACTTCACAAATTTAGTCATAATCGCTAGTGAGTGGGTAACAAAAGGAGAGAAAATTAGTTGAGAGAAAACTTGCTAACTTTGTAAAAAAAGTACAGAGGTCTCATTCATATGTTACTGGATTACTGCTAACAGTAAAAATCCTAAATCAACATTATTCATATTAAGAACTATGTTGTATCTGTGGACCATTTAATAATATATGAACAAAAATAACTAAGGGACAAAATGTTAATTCGCTCAACTCTGTGTTCAATTTATTGTTAACTAAAATGGGGATAGTTTATTTCTCAACATTTAAAAACTTCTTGCTCGCTTTATCATACTGGAACAAGAACACAAGCATCTTTAGTAAAGGGGTATGAAGATTAACAGGAAAATCTATGATTTACTGTATTTTTTTTTCCCCCTGAGGAATAATAAGTAAAACATGATATGCTATCCCCTTATGAGAAGAAGGCATATCCCACCAACCTAGAAAATTATTTGCCTTAGCCTCTTCCTACTAATATTTAAACCTTTAAAATGCCTGCTATAATTTCAGATATATTGAATATATATTAACTACATTTTAACTGTGCAGTTTCAAAGTGTATTTAACTTTCAGCTTACATCTGAAAAACCCAAACATAACATGCATTCCAATCACTGTATTCAGGAAGTACTCTTTAGCTATGTCCAATTCTTGAAAATGAAGTGTTAGTAACTTTTCCATCTTGCGAATCTGACGTTTTTTATGATAGGGTGAAGAAACTAATCAAGAAAAGTTATGGTTTTGAAATGAAAGACATTTTTGCTTCATTTCATGAACAATGAGTCTGATGTTCCACTTCTACTCTTCAGTGTGCCATCAA